AGAATAAAACAGAGTTGAACATCAACAACTTGAACCTCCCCAAGTCAAATTTATTTCAAGTCCCCAACAGAATTCCCTAAAAAAAACACTTAATTAAAAACCTAAATCCAAGGATTTTCCTCTCAAACCTACTGTTGCAAAAAAAAAAAAATGATAGAGAGGAATGCATCAGCTGATGATGCAGCACATTAATTTCTCTGATTTTTCTATTTTTGGCCGATCAGAATATGCAACAATATTCTGGAAATTTCAGGTCAGTTCACCTGACCAGACAATTCCAAAAACCCAATAAACGCTCCAATTAACTCAAATTTATAAGTAGTCTGTCCTGAACTCTTGAAGGGACTATCATTTCCTTCTTTTTAATGAATTGTGCACAAATCTGTGATTTTCCTTTTTGTGAACTGATTGTGTTATTCAAATCTGTTGTGGGAATTGATTGTGTCTACAGTATTCTCTTGAAATCTCAAGTTCATTTTTACTCTACTCAAATTTTTTAATGAGCATGATTTAAAACTATGAACATATATATTCAAGATGATCATTTGAATATGTGTTCTTGGTCTTAAAAGGCTGATTGCCTGTTTTTATTCATTTATTTATTTCTTATGTGATCCTTCATCAAACCTCCGTAATTCAAATTTCCTGAGGCCTTTAGGCTATTCTTTTCTTCACACAGAAAAGAGACAAGCAACTGGAATTTGATGCGTTTTGGAAGGAAGTGAAAGATTAAATTGGGAACAAAATTAAATCTTACATTTCAGGTGATGGAAAATTCAAAAAAAGCAGTAAAAAGCCGAAGAAAGCATTGAAAAATTATTCTCCGACAATAAATCAAATTCATTTTATTCATCCCAAGTGAAAAATATCCCAAGTTTCCCCAAAATCTTCGACAGTTTTTATAATTCATAATTGGAAAAATTACCCTGAAGTCAACCGGCAATCAAACTAAAATATTAGTAATTGCGTTCAAAAAGTCTTCGTTACATCGAAAGCATAAAAAAATCGCGACATTATCCGCAGAAATTTCGCTCTCGTCGTGACATTGATTTATTTTACCCCAAACCAATCCCTTCTTGACGGTCGTTTGAAAAATTGCATAAACCTCGGGAAAATGAGCAAAAAAGTTCTTTACCTCAAAGGCATTCTAATTGGACAAAAACCTCCCCTTTTTCTTCTCCCTAATTGGCAGACTTTGGGGGTTGCAATGCATAATTTATCACGGTTCCTCTTATTTTTTCCACACGACAGAGACAAAAAAAAAAAGGGGGTGGAAAGGTTCAATTGATCGGAAATCGACCCCCTCAAGTCCCTGAACAGCGCAAAAATCCCGGCGTCAAAACACTGCAGGAAAAAACATGGGAGGATTTTTGCAGCATCATAAATCAATGGGAAAAAAATTGGATTGCAGCAGCATTAATCGGAGTCTGCGACAATGAATTATTAAGACAATGAATGATTAATCGACAGACGAACGTAATAATTCAGCAGTGTGTAACCTGATAAAGGGGGAAGTCATTAATTTGTTTGATGATCGCAGTTCAACGGTTGCAATGATTTCTACTTTTTTTTTTCGCCTCGGGGTTCCTTGGGAATTCGGTAAGTAATGGTGTTGGGTTACAACTGGTACAGGGTTCAAAAAAAAAAAAAAAACCCGGCGATAATTAGCCTCATTTCTCAGACAAGAAAATTTACGAGACTTTGAAAAAAATCTTCAAAAGAAATTTACAGCTTTAAAAAAAGTTTTTTTTTTAAATTTCAGTGTCATATGTTTTCAGCTCTGCTACACATTTTAAAGGTGAAAAATCTTCGAAATTTCAGTTTTTCAACTTCTCACTGACGCTAAAAAAATATAAAAAAAATATACAGCTATAAAAAGTTTTTTTTTCCAATTTCAGTCTCATATGTTTTCAGCTCTTCTACACATTTTAAAGGAGAAAAATCTTCGAAATTTCAGTTTTTCAACTTCTCACTGACGCTAAAAAAATAAAATAAAAAATGTACAGCTTTAAAACAAGTTTTTTTTTTCAGTGTCGTGTGTTTTCAGCTCTGCTACACATTTTAAAGGTGAAAAATCTTCGAAATTTCAGTTTTTCAACTTCTCACTGACGCTAAAAAAAATAAAAATTTACAGCTACATATTTCTTTTTTTTTCGAAGGCTTCTTATAACGTCAGCATTAGAAAAATCTCCTCAGGCAAAACTCGTCTTCAATTTATCAGATACAGTATATTTACAGGGCTAAAATATTTGCACACTTTCGAAAGCTGTTATTCTCAGCAAAAAAAAAAGAGACCAAATTTTTGAAACTCAAACGCAAGCAGCTCTGAAAAAAGTCTCGTAAACATTTCCAGCTCGTCAGCAAATTATTCATTTTCAGTAATTCAGCAGAAGCCATATTTTCAGGTAACTGACACTTGATGCTTTTCCAAGTCGTTACATAATCAAAAATAAAAATGTCAACTGCAAAATCTCAAGATTATTAATCTCTCAAAGCTTCTCGCGCATCGACGCTGCAGTAAAAACTAAAGGAATCTCAACAAAGCCAGCTGTTTTTAAAACCTCACCCTGTAATTACTAGTCGGGCAAAAAATTACACGTATGCAAAATTTGGTTGGGGGCAAAGAAAAAAAAAACTACAGTACAGTTCTTTCCCTTGAATCCCCCCAGACATTAAGAAACAAGATATAGGCGACACCGTGAAATTCCAAGAACCTCTCCACGCCGTCAAGGCGCATGATTTTGCGAAATCTGAAACCATTCGCGCACAAAACCACTAAGCCTCCCTTTACAACCAACCCAGACACACACACACACACACGCACAGAATACGGAAAAAGAGAGAGAAAACGGATAGAGAAAAGAAAGGAACTGTTCATTTCAGAAGGAAGGCGAAATAGAGAGACATAAATAAAGGAGAGGTGAGAAAAAAAAAAAAGCCCAAGGAATATTGCGCGAGGGGCAAACACGCGCAATATTTGCACTTCCCCAGTCCGCAAACCAGCGCATCTTCACTTTTTTTTGTGTGTGTGTGTGTCTCATCGCAAATTTTTTCCATCCTTCGCAATAACTCAAAATACATTTAATTCGCACTCCTTTCTTCTTAACGAAAACCACTTAACCTTTGAGGATGTCCTGAGAAATAATTTCACGCAATCTGAAATTGCAAATTACTGCTGAGGGAAAGACAAAAGTCCCTAAAATTATTCACGACTTGATAATTTGAAGAATAAAAAAATCCTTCCTATAAAAAAAGAAACGAGTTCTAAGAATGAATTTCTGCGAAAATTTCTTTCGAACGAGCGATTGAAAATACTGCGCGCAAAAATTCATCAAAGTTCTAAAAAAGGTGATACGTCATCAGGGCTCATAATTTAATGAATAAAACGATTAATGTACTCTTGCAATGTATTCCAAATTATATACTGTGAATTTCCAGAAAATGAATCCGCAGAAACTCAAAATAAATTTAATTCGCCCTCTTCCCTTCTCAACGAAAAACATTCAACCTTTGAGTACGTTCTGAGAAATAATTTCATTCACTCTGAAATTGCAAACGCAGTTCAATAATTACCAGTGAGGAAAATAAATAAGCTCCTAAAATTATCCACGACTTGATATTTTCAAGATTAAAATAATCCTTCATAAAAAAAGAACCAAATTCTGAAAAGTAATTTCTGCGAAAATTACTTTTGAACCAGCGCACAAAAATTCCGGAAAAAATCCATCGCAGTTCTAAAAATGTGATACGTCTAATGAATAAAACGATTGCCGTTTTCTTGAAATGCATTCCAAATTATATATCGCGAATTTTCAGAAAATTAATCCGCAAAAACCCAAAATAAATTCAATTCGTACTCGTTTCTTCTTGACGAGGAACACTTAACCTTTGAGTATGTTCCGAGAAGTAATTTAATACAATCTGAAATTGCAAACGCACTCCAAAAATTACTGCTGAGGAAAAGAGAAAAGTCCCTAAAATTATTCACGAGTTGATCATTTGAAGAATAAAATAATCCTTACTCGAAAAAAGAACCAAGTTCTGAAAACTTTTTGAACCCGCGATTGAAAATATTGTGCGTAAAAATTCCGGAAAAATTGCATCTTGTAATTTACTGAATAAAACGATTATTCTACTCCTAAAATTTCTTTCATTTCACATAACGTGAATTTTCAGAAAATAATTCCTCAGTTAATATTTAAAAATAAAGAATGCCTCCGAATATGAAATATCCGGATCAAATGAATGCATGAAAGCACTACATACACTAAATCCATTTTCGAAACCGAAAAATATTCAAAAACCCGGAATCTCACCCAAAAAAAAAAATCTCGTCATAAAAAATGAATTTTCCACGTTTACTACTGTGGACAGAGACGGAACTAAACAAGTACCAATAGGACTGAGGCTAATGAAAAAAAGATAAATAAAACAGAAGAAGGCACAGCAAACAGGAGATGGAAGTAATTCGACCCTCAGTCAAGAGTCTCGGATTTCAAACGGGCGGCACTTGAAGAAGCTGCTGCTGAATGGTTCGGCACATTCTCACAGAAGATTTAACGCAACACAAAATATCTTTTGAAAAAAAAAAACAATATTAATACGAATTTCTGTCTTCATTTTTTGCGTTGTGATCATCAGAAACCATTAAATGCAAGCAGTTCCCACAGAAAAATAAGGAGAAAGAGAGCAACAAAAACGTCTCTGTGGATTCCCATTGGAAATTCATTAAAAAAAAAAAAAACTCAGCCAAATCATTCCTAAATTTATTGAATACAGTGTGTTATCCTTATTTCTCAAAGTTTTGATAACCTTCAACACTTTTATTCCGGAAAAAACTGCGAGGTACGTAACAAAAAAAATTAGACTAAAAACTTGCGCAATTACAAGTTTTGAAGCATTTCAAAAATGTGTATGGCGGATTACGTAACTACGTATAGAAATAATAGCCCACTAATTTGAGACTTTCTCTCGTCGGGAATTAAATTTTTTTACGAGAGTAATCAGTTTATCTTTGTGAAATATTGTACATTTATCCTGTTAAACTAAGAATTCCTAAAAGGAATTCCCGGTCCTTTCCCAGACCAATCGCTGTGTTTTATTGCAATACTTGACACTTGACATCAACTTATAATGTGGTGACATCTGTCCACAATATAAATGATCTTATGGGAATCAATCAGAGTAATTTACTTCTCCTGCTGTTTCTTTCTACTCAATCAATTCCTGCAGAAATAAACACCCACTCGAAAAAAATAAAATTTCGCCTATAAAAAAAAACCCAAAACTTAATTTCCCAACAGTAAAAAAATATTCATAATTTTATAAGCTGTACAGAATTTGTTTTTGTGAATAGGAATTTCCGAGGCAAAAAAACGAGAGAAGAAATAAATAAAAAATCATTGTACTCACTTATGTGACAATATCTTCCTGTGAAACCGGGTTCGCATTCGCAGGAAAACTCGTCGCTTTTTTCTGCACTCGAAACACAGGTCCCATGTTCTCCGCAAATTCTCGATGGCACCAATTCGTATTCACTCATGGACACGTGACCAGTAATCCCAGTTGCATTCGATGGCACAGGCACCGAACATATGTTCATACCTGGGAAATAAATTTAAAAGAAGACGGTTTCAATTCGGAATGAATAAATAAATAATCAGAAGGATTGAAAACAATATTTTGGAACGTGGAACAAAAAAAAAAACAGAGGAAAATAATGCCTTGAGACTTAAATTTTGACGGAAAATTCTGCTGACTTGGATTGAATCCGGTTTACCCTTGTGAAAAGTATTCCTAATATGACAGACTGCCAAAAAAAACCACCTAATCTGAACATATTTTCAAAACTGGTGGAAACCCATTTATACATTTTTTCCATTGCTTTTCATAAACTTTATATTTAAGGGGGGGGGGGTCATATTTTTCCAATGAACACGTTACAATCTATAACGAGCCTTCAAAAATACTTTTAAGGCGAATTTCAACTCATGCTCAATTTATCATACATTTAAAAGGTTAAAATATTCGTATAACATTCTAACGGTGCTATTCTCAGCAACAACAACAAAAAGAGTGCCAAATTCAAGAAACTTCATTAAAAAAAATTTACAGCTCCTCAGTAGTTTATCAATTTTCAGCATTCAACAGACGCCATATTTTCAGGCAACTGACAGCTGATGCTTTTCCACACTTCGTTATTCGAAATTCGTCTTATAAACGATAACTCGTTCAACATTGCGGCAATTCGACAGGGGACCCAAAAAAAAACATACTTCGTTGCAGTCGAATATTCGTTGAAACGAGGGTCTATCCTGTAAACCTATTACAAAAATAAAACAATTGGGTTGAAAACTCACGAATGCAAGGAGGATTGAGGCAAGTGAGCCTGGGTTCCGTGCAATTCCTGCCAAAGAACTCGTGCGGACAATCGCACTGGTACCCGGCCCCTGCGTTGAAGCACGTTC